TTGCTTACAATACTTAGAAGTTCAAAATGTCTTCATCACTAAGCTCCATGCGATTCGTATTTGAATGAAAGTAATGACATTACTACAACAACGAACTTCAGAACTTCATGTCTACCAGAGAATTACATCATCATAATTGGATCACGGTTTCTAGCTGGGTACCCCAAATAATTAAAATTTTGATCGTCAACATGCAAACATTGAGTAAAGTATGAACAGAATAATGCATGGTATTTTGAATCGACAGAGACTCATTCTTGAAGATCTTTAGTTTGAAGGTCATGTGAAGGTAAAGACAATGGACCAAACAAACGATAAGTAAAAGTAACAATTCGCTCACTAATTGAAAATACAAAGCGCGCCAATTTATTACGCATATCTCATTACACATTGAATGCATTTGTATGAAGTATTTCCTTTCAATAATTTCAAGTACGTATGCGACTTTCAGATTTATTGCATGCTGCTAAAATTACGGAGGTGTATCAGAAGGCTCGTATTAATTTTGCCATCGGCACAAGTAATTTTACATGGTTATTTGATTTGATCACATGTTATATTTCATAGTTCTAGAGATGAATGCACCTCTCAGTGAATTTGATTTTCGAAAGAGACAAAAGTAGCCTGTATGACTAATGATGTGTATATTATGAAATCATCGTATTCACTTATACCAAATTAGGTTGTAGTATTGATAAAATCAGCAGTATTACTTGTCTTATTATTATTAGAATCTGCGAACTGTTTGTGACACTTAAGTCTAAAATATGTATGCACAAAAGCGTTAAATTTACTGCTCCTATAGAGTTAATTTCATATTACCGGGACATGCGAAACTAATCCGATGAAGCTTCAGTGACTTCATCAATGCATCATGCAATAAAGCCATAAACATTTATGATACACGTTGTTAAGTTCAGAATAACAGTTACATTGAAACTACATGACATGATCGAGCATTGTGAGATTTAGGCTTTATTTCATATTGTTGCAACGTAACATTAAAAATGGTACAAATGCGTCACTGACAATCTATTCACTGTTTTAGAGGAATTAGGTGAGAAAATAATACTATTGGAAATGAAGAGGATTGAATTTTTGAAGTGTAAGTTGAAATATTGAAATGATTTACAACTGACTAGTTCAAACCCTAGAAGATAGAATAAACTGGCTCCTGACCGAAATGAAGGAAGATGCCAAGCAGTTTTATTGAAGTAAGTTGCTACTTAGATCCTCAACGTGTTTTAAATTTCTGACTAACTGCAGAAGTGAATATGAACTTGAAGATGGATTTTGTGGTTAGCTGAAATAAGCTAGATGAATCCTTGAGAAACAAGTACCAATGAACTTCTGTTTACTCGCATTTTCTGATTATTCATCAGTGAACAGGTGCATGATGGCTGAGCCACTGGCTGACCGGCCACATGATCCCAGTCGCCTGGTGCACCCAATATCATGGTTGTAACAACTGTTGAGAACATCTTAAATTCAGATGGTACTCTGCATGGCTAATTTCTGTGAGGGGAATTATAACTTGGGATCAAGCAGATAATGTACACAACTAATCTGTGTCTCAATATTCACCGGAAGTATTGCCTTAGGATTAGTGTTATTGCCAGTTAGATGGAAACTGTCAATAATAATTTCTGCTGTACAAGATACGTGTCCATTTTCAACCAAGGTTTACTCTTTTACCAGTTGATCACGGAGTGATATCAGTCAGAGAACCATTGAAAACCAGGGAGTACTGGACAGCTGCTGTTTCATCCTAGTACGCACCCACTGGGATTCGAACCCAGGACCATCCGGTTACGAGGCAAGGGAATTCAAACAATATTGGTGAAGTAAATACATTGTTTTCTTATTATTTTTTTGTTTAATTAAATATAATATTTTCTTTCGTAAGATCTTGTTCCATTTGGTATTTTCTGTCTTTTTAGTAGAATGTGGTATTTCAGAGTGAAGTAGCTAATTAGAACGAAAAGGCTGACCGCTTGCGCACAACTCGAGGATTATTGTTTTGTCGGACGAAGTGTATCGAGAAGTCAATGAGGAAAAGTGTAATTAATTGCCAGCGACTAAAAGTTACACATACGCACAAAGAAATTCCAACTACTTGACATTTTCAAGTTATTTGTTACGCGAATTTCCATAAAATATAATGGCAAAGATGGCTTGTGAAGTTCTACTCAAGTTGGGATTGATAAATAGTGGGTTGGTTGTCCATAGGTCATTTCGTTAACCACAGTGTACAACATAATATATTGAATGGAAATTCTCAGACATATTATGCGTCATTCGAATACAGCAAAGTCATCATCAATGATATGAAGACATATCACGGTCTGCGAATGACTGAATTATCGACTTAGTTTTATATGCCATGTAAATAATAATATTAATAACAGCTTTATTCCAAACAGTATTTGTGGTAAAGGTATGGAAGTTTCAGCTTGAATTGCAATATTGCATCTAATTACCTAAAACATTTTCTAAGATTTTAAAATCAAAAAGCAACAATCAAAAAATTAAAAAGAACAGATTTGCGTCTTCATTTTTAAACAGTGCACCACAGGATATGAAATATAAATTAAGCGTGTAATAGAAGATGTGAACAACAATATAGTAGTAACAAAGAAAGGAAAACAGAAACTAATGTGACTAATTGTTAGAGTGTCGCAGTAAGTTGATCGTGTCATACCTAACGGATTTCTCATCACAAAACAACTGTGCCAAATTAAATATTGTGGAGCTTTCGTACTTGGTAGTCCTAGCATATAACCTCATATAGCTGCTTTTAGTTCTAGAAGATGAAATGCAAGGAGAGAGCTCCGTATATAGATGATGCTCAGGTTCTGACAATATAGTATTCACTAGTTTCTTACATGACATTATATGTCTATCCACATTAGTCCTTACCAGTTAGTTTAACGATATCCCACTCGCCCTACTGCCGGTTTTAGTGCCTTTCTCAGCGAATCCAAACCTTTCTTAGGTAGTCCAGGAATTGACAAACTGAGATAGCAAAGACTGCTTTATACCAGACTGCCTAAACTTCCTAACGTAGAACGTTAAGCGAAACATCTTTCTAGTTACTAGCAAGATGTCAGAGGGCCAGGATAGGATCCAAGGAAATAATCAGTCCTAGGTACTTGACATTAGATGTAATTTCAACCTCTATACCGTCAATGATAGTGGGACCATTTGAGCTAGCTAGTTGTTGTAGGTCACGTTTTCGTCTAAAATTGAAACTGACTACCTGACATTTAGACGGATTTAGCTTAGGACCGTTCGAAGAGGACTACTGACTAATTTCCGACAGAAAGTCATTTAGTTTGGAACAATCTGAATGAGAGTTGACATTCATGGAAGCAGAGGTCATCACCATACTTAACAAAAGTGGCTACATCAGAAAGGGACAACAATGCTAGAAAATAGAAAACAGAAAAGGAGAAAGAACAGCACCTTAAGGAACACCAGCTAAAGTAATTGAGGCAGTGGAGGACTTTCCATTGAAGACGGTGTACTGCTCCCTATCAGAAAAATAGGAGTGCAACCACGTTTTCGTCCAGCTCTCAGTCTGTGTTGCAAGCTTACTTAGCAAGAGAGACCTAGGTACAGAGTCAAATGCAGATGTGTAATCAAGGAAGGCGCACCAAACCTATTTAGCTCCTCTATCTGAAATAGAGATTACATTATAATATAAGACAATAGCGGCATCTAAATTACACCTAGTTTGTTTATAAGCAAACTGGTTGGGGTAATTGAAAGGCTTTTAAGAGGGTTCAAGATTGAGCAAAATAAGTCTTTTCATAACTTATAAAAAAGGTGAAGTAATAGCAATGGGTCTAAACTTAACAAAAGGTCCATTTATTGATTTAGGCACTGGAACAACCTTGATATTTTTCCATGAGTCAGGTATAATACTTTTGGAAAAAGATTCGTTGAAAACGTTGATTAATGAGGAACATAAGATGTGAGCACACTTCTAAAGGATAACAGCAGGAACACCATCAGGACCAAGGGACTGACTAGGTTTGAGAGATTGAAGTCACTGAAGAACATCATTCGTATTAAAGCATGAGAAACAGTCATTATTTACGCTATTAGAGTTGGGGATCATAACATCTACAGTAATACATATGGAGGATTTGTTAAGCATATCAACATCAACAGAAGAATCATTCATTATTTGCTTACCACCTGTGATTTCCTTTATTAACTTCCACGTATAAGATGTGTATTTACATGAAAAAATCTTCTGGAAATGGAGAGCATTTTATCTTTGTAATTCATGCTTAATCAACGTGTTCATTCTCTTAACACCAGATTTGTTTTTCATTTTATGTAGATTGAAAATCCCCATTGAGTCATATGAAAAAGAGAAGACATTCAGCGAAGAGACTCTTTTCGGCGAATTCATTCACATAGCTGTACAATCGCTTTTATATATAAATATTTGTGTGTGTGTGTACATGGGGTTTGTCAAGTTTAGATAATTGATTAGTTAATACAAGAATGATGTAGTATAGAGACAAAGTTAATCAGACAGCAACTAAAGTAAGACTGAGTTAAAAAACTAGATGACGTAATATAATTGGCTAAAATGTTACAACTTAGGTCAGGATAGCAACAGAGGTAATCACAGGTAGAGATTAAGTAGAAGTGAAATTGAGTGAATAAGTTGGATGACGTAACATGAATGACTAGAAACTGAGCGTTGTTCAAGTCAGTAACAGTGGTAGTGGGGTGTAGAGATTGAATCGGGTGGGAGTAGAGAACAAGAAAGTTGAGAATGTAAAATGTTACAATTGAGAAGACAAAATAATACTAATGAAGAGACAGAAAAAAAAAGATTAGGTAGAATTCACAACTTATATATCAAAAAGTATTAATTCTTCCAAGCAAATTGAAGTTGAATGTTCATTGCATAAAAAGTTTTGTTTATTGAATATCTTCCATTTGAAAATTTTTTCATTAATATATTCTAAAAATGTTCCCCGAGTAAACAAAAATCCCACATCAGGCAAATATGTTAGCAATACACTTTGTCACGTGGACGTATGATATCAGACTGATTTGAGTTGGTTCAAAACAACCAAAAACATCTGAAAAAAGGGAAAGAAAATAGTGTGAAAACGTGAAAATTTAATTAGTCCGAAATAAACTTGTTAACTTTGTGACTTGTTAACAAGCGATGATATGTTTGAATAAGAATATGATGTGGTAAGTATGAATTAATTCGAAAATTACCATTTGCACATTTAGGAAAGCAAAGAGTTAGGTGAATACATGCATATTTTCCTCGTCATCGGCTATACAATATAATCAGTAGTTCCTACATCAAAATTATAACATCCATGCTAGTTCGTCTCCCTGGATACTGAACATCACGTTTACACTGAAAGTGGTTTTAAACTTATAAATCATATCAATCCCACATTATCTAACCGTTCACATACTCCACAAGAACGACTTCTACTTACAGTGTATGAAATTGAAATTCTTATGAACAAGCCAAATTTGCGCGTTCAAAAGAAATTTGTGGCGCCTCTATCTATTCCGTGGCCAACTTCATAATATATAAAAATTTTAACTGACCATTATATACTCCCAGTGTTATTTTATTCCAGCTACAATCGCAACTAATTCAACCAACGTGTTTTTATCGTATTATTACTGCGTAATTCCACATGGTTATTCCCTTTTTCTTGGTCATCACCATTCTAGAAATTCCACCATCACAAAAATGTCCTGTTGTAAACATCTTACAAATATGCTGATCTTGGATTACAGTGTTACTTCCACCCCTCCATCAAAATTTGGACATCGTTTTACCAACATCTTCTAGTTTATTATTGTGACGATTTCTGAAAACAACCCTTTCTTCACTTAAAACTGGTCATACTTATTGGCTAAAATAAATACATGCTTGGTGTAATTTTGATGAACAACGACATACACTGGTGTAGAGACAATGACGAGGAACCATTTGAAAAAGGAGTATATATCTTCGCTTAGTTTGTTTTTTCCGGAATAAAATGTGTTTCAATTTTAGTAAGAATCCTGCCAGCCTGACATGCCTTTCAGCAGTTCAGAGAAGGAAATTAATCTGAACTTACCAAACACATGGAAGTGTTGAGGAAGGCGCCCACCAGCATTTTGTAGAGGTCCTACAAAATAAACATTGAATCTCGTAAACATTCGAGTCAACTCAGCAGAAGAATTCTGTGAATTCTCAAGTACATTCATAACCAAAAAGATAATACGAACTAGGAAACTGTGTATTCAGAACCTAAATCAGACTTCTTCCATCAAAATGAAGACATCTTCAACATAATTTCAATAAATAAAAGCGAACGAGAGTGAAGGAACGGGTGGAGCGTCGCCATAAATCTACCATTCAGCATTTTTCGTGGTTGAATTTGACGCCTAAATGTGTGATGCCTACATTATACTAGCCATAGTGAATAAACGAATTAAAATGAATTTTTTATGTATCATATAACCTTCATATTGTGCAGATTTGACAAAATTAATCCAAGTCACTTAAATACGAGTAAACAAAATGTTGTTTCGTTTATTCACGTCACACAAAAATACGACTAACTGGCTGTAAACTGATTCTAATACTACTCGTTGTTCCTCTGATCGCGTCCTTTAAAGTTAATATATTTATTCTTTCTTAAAAATTAACGTTTTTGAATCTTGTAAATGCTGTTCCTCCTCCGATGCGCCTTGTGGGTAGTAGGATTTTCTATTGTCATGGAGAGGCTCTGAATAATTCCATTTTGTGCATAGTCTCATATGTCATGAAATATAAAGTATCAGTTATCAATCTTTGCCTTCACTATGTTGTATACAACTACACGTGATTTTGCAATGAATTTTAGATAAGAGATCCGGTGGAATACTCCAAAATCAAATGCAATAAATCATTTTGCACCCATCAAGATTTCAACGATTCACAAACTTTCAGAAACAGTAAAAAATTCGTTCAATAAACCATCTTTCAACTAGCTAACCATAGACGAAATTAATTCGTCTTCCAAGCATGAACACTTCAAATACCATGAACTTTCATAATAATTTGCTTATGGATACATCATACAGTGATTACGAATTGTTTATCATGTGATCTTGTTATGTTTCCCTCATTCATTCTAATGTGGAAGTGTTGAGTTTAAGGAATGCGGAGACTTGTGCATATTTGAAATTCTATGCAAATTATAAAATTACTCTAGCGGTTCAACAACAAACGTCAGAGAGTAACAAATCATTTGACATTTCAACTTACTTACCTCAAAATACCAAGGTATTAACGTCAAAACTACCGCAATAACTGCACAAATTATCGATATAACCGCCAGTACGACAGCCACAATTATTTTCAATCTTCTTCTCATGAAGAATAAAATAATCATCAATAAATCTTCCAGAATAGTGAACATAAATAGGTATGAACACTTTAAACTAATGCCTTTGCAATCTACCAAGCAGACTTCTGCCGACCATAGTAAAAGCTGTTGGCAAAATAAATTAAAACAAAGTATAAATAAATGGAACAAATTGAATAGTTTTCATAAATGTTGTGCCATATCTAATTTCAATATCTTTAAGCACGAAAAATAATGCTACATCAAACTTCAAAAAAGCTTCTGTCTCAGAGGTTCGTATTAGATTCGCTTCTTCGGTGGAGCTTCGTGGCTACAGGCCAGATATACACCTGTCTTATAGTATGCCAATTTCGTACATTTTATCAGTGAACTACCAAAACTGGGGGCTAATCATTATCAGGTGTGATGTGTAGTCAGAAAAACGTGTCTTTCAATAACAAGTAGTAATTGAGTTTGATTAGACAAGAGTTAAGTGCCTTTACTGATTAAGAAATCTATCATGTTTTCCAAGTGCAGATTTAATGATGGTGAGATTCGTATTCTGTTAATACAAGTCAAACACACACACTATGGATGAGTTTGGATAAAAGTCGTCCACTGCAACATGCTTCGTTGTGTGAATAAATTCCATTTTTCAATTTTCTAGTGAGCTGGCCAGTATACGAAAAGCGATCATCATAAGTTGGCATACAGGAGAACTTACCACTATTGCGAGGAATATTATTTCAATTCTCCAGTTTCTGCTGTATTTGAGGCACAGTATTAAAGTGATGACGAAAAGAATTGCTCTGAAAGACAAAGATGAAACTGGGGAGTGAATTTCAGTGGTGTTATTTATAAGCATATGTATTAATCCAACGTAGAAGGAGTATTCCTGGCATTAATTATGCAACAAAATACATTTCTGGCCATCACATTATCTCATGCTTCAGACGAACTGATTGTTTTTCATCTAGTGGAACACTGTGCTTGTAATCACTGGTTAACAACGACGTATATAACAGTAAATTTCATAAATGGCTTTTATCACTCAAATATAGTAGAATGTGGGACTCACATGCAAATGACTGCTTCAGTGTGCGACAACTTCATCTTAAAATATTTCTCTGACCTAAAGAACAAGAAATTCATTATAAGTTTGAGGTGAAACGATATTTGTGAGGGTTTGTTTTGAAACTGCTTATCATTAACACTGACACAATGTCGAATTCGGACAGTTCACTCAGTCATCAGTGTGGTTGTCACTACTTATACTATTTCATGCATGAAATTACAGCATTTTCTTCCCTTTTTTTAATATTTGTTCAGTGATGCTTTAATGTGCAAACGTAAAACGCAAATGACAAACTTTGCAGGAAAAAAGTAGGTCGACTTTGCTCACATTAAAAATCCTCTTTCAAATTGAGTCTCCACATACTTAAGCACAAATGGTTTATTTAATATATGCATATATAAATGATGTAAAGAAATGTTGAAGTAACACATAGCCCCGAGTGAAGGAAGTGTGCTGAACACTAATATATTCGCAATTTCATTAAACGACAACAAAATTATAATACCGACAAAAAAAGAAGGTGGATAACTTACTAGTGAATAAAATATGATTTAAAACTTAACGTCAGATTAGTGATATTCGAATAAAGTGCTCGTGCTCATATATATTCATCTCATTCTTCGAAACTTTGATCCAAACTTCCAGACAAAACGTTTAGATAAAATATCAACTCAAAAATATAAAACTTGATACGATGTACTTTAAAATTATGAAATGTAAGAAATACATACAAACATAAAAATAATGACGTCAACTACATCCGTAATTATTCTTAATTTTCTGTTTTTTGGAGTGGTTGCTCATCGCATCACCACATATCCGCTGAACGGACTGAGATGAACTGTGGCTATCCATGTTGAAATATGCCTAATAAGAGTCCGTTACCAAGTCTTTTCTCTTTCGACGTTATATTTGAAATATGGAACCGCCATTGACATTGCAGTTCAAGATTTCATTCAGATTTGAATATCCTTATGAGTCAATCTTAAAATGAACAGGCCTATTTGAGGTATTTTAAAAAACCCATGGGCAGTATAAGGAACAAGATCAAAATATCTACAGCTGGTCTACCACGTCGAAATAAGTTACTTCTCATAAACTGTAACCGCCTTTGTTTTTGGAGTTTCTATGTGAACCTACAAGCTAACACTGTTTCTGTTAATCAATTTTTCTGTTTTCTGTCTTACCCCTCCTTCCTGTTTTCGACTTTGAAAGTGTATAAATTGATGATGATATCTTAAACTAAAAATTGTAATGCTTTCATTCTTTTTCGGGTGTGTCAATTTTCTCTCTTCTCTGCTACTACTCAAACATTAAAGTATGTTATTATCATTTATATAACCATTGTAATTTCAGGTAGTCTGCAGCTGATGAGAACCTGTGAATTAGAATGATATCATTTCATACTGCAAATTTCGTCTTCCTTTCTTTATCGAAACATATTTAATCCTCTGCACAGGTGAAATGTGTCCGATGAATCGCCAGGAGACTTGATGCGACATAAGTGTTCGTGATAAAATTGAAGTTTTAGTGAGACATCGAACAGTTACACAGTTAGTAGAATCGTTTTAAAATTTGAAGCAGAATTAGTTAGCAGCAGACCAATATGAATAATAAAAGTGGCATTACCACCACTTCGCTTCTACTTTGAACCGAATCAGCCATATCAGTGCATAGTGAATCCATTTAGAGATACTAAATTGTCATCATATAAATCGTGGAGTTAAGTTTCCTGAAGCGCTATTACACCTGTATCGCAACAAACATCTCAAGATAATAAAGCATACTATCTAGTTCAGTAATGACTTGAAAACTGTGCTCAGAATCACAGGAACATTCATCTGATCCACTTGAATACGCTTTAAAGCTCGTTTCCACGCACCATGATGCTATCTTCTTAATTTGATTAAAGACCCGTAGATCCTCCACTGGTAGGAAACATTTTGAATAATCTGGGAAGCAGAAACTAAGATTTTGAGATATAACTGAATGAATAAAGCAAGATAAATCTGGAAAAGCACATTCATTGTGCAAGATGCAAACTTTCGATAGCCCTAGTTTTGAGCAGGACGCCACTATGTTCACTATCTATAGTGATGTTATCATGTAAGTACTCCTGTTTGGTGCTGTATGATACTTTCGATTCATTTAATTTTTAATCAGTAAAATTTTTAAACCTTCACTGGGTATACCTGATTTTGCGTTGATTTGTTTAGGATTTGTTTATTACGCATATCGAATTCTTTAAGAGAAGTAACCTTGACTCTATGTTCTCTGTAGAAAGAGGTATATGAGGATCAGAATATTGAATACTGTTTAACCCTGCTTGTTACAACTCTAATATATTCGAATTTTTTCGAAAATTATTTGATGAAGGAGTATCAGATTTTCATAATGTCACCAAAAGACGACAAATATGAAGACAGTTGAAGAAAAGAAACAATCAAAGAAAGTCTCGGCAAGTGATATGGAGAATACTAAAACTATACACAGGATATTGGACAAGATACTTTCTGAAAATGAAATATCATTACTACAGAAAGGATTGAATTCCAACATCACTAGGAAGCCATTAACGATTCAGGAATTGGCACCTATAACTGATCCTGCTCTACCAATCAAGAATCACAATCTGTGCGAAACATACCATCTAATCCCAGAAAACAAGAATATGAGGCCCCAAGAAGCTTCAAATAAGGAAATAGCATCGTTATAACTAAGGTCGACAAGAAAAACGTCACTGTGATAAAGAACTAAAGTGATAAAGAAAAGAAGGCGACTGAAGACCTATCCGATGAACCACTCTTACTTTCTGAAGAAAAGGAAAAATCTGGGCGACTCAACAAAATGAAACTGAATGCCAACAGACTCCTTCAAGACCCAATCCTAAATGGGAAATTAAGAACACTAGTGGATTTTACCAATTCACTGACATACAATCTTTTCAGATACTTATTTTCGATATGACATCCACCGCAAAATACACTCAGATTACTGTGATTTCAAATCCAAGATAAGACACCGAGAAGTTTATAACGACTATATTATGGTATGCTGTGATATCCACTCATTATGTACGAGTATTCTCCTTATCGCGTTTTGATATCATTTTCAGTTTAGTAGAACCAGATGCAGTCGTATTACAAAGATGTCCACTGGACAGCAGTGAAATAATTAATGGCTTAAAATTCTGTCCAGAAAGTAATTATTTTATATTTAAAGGGAAATCAAATAGACAGACAAATGGTGTTGCTATCGATTGACTGGTTTTCCCAATAGTTGCTGATCTTTTCATGAATAGATTCGAGGATAACATCTTTTTAAGCATACTCACGCCTAAAATATAGTTAAGATAGGTCGATGACAATTTTGTTGTGCTGAAGCAGAATCTACACAGTTTATTGTTCGAGCAACTGAACAATCCATCTCTGAAAATCCAGTTTACTTCAGATACAGAATCATACGTCACTGAACTACCATTTCTAGACTGCCTAGTTGAGAGGAGGGAAAACAGACATTTTAGTATATCTATATTCAGGAAGAAAACCCATTCCAGCATATATTTAGGCTTTGGATTATCGCAGCCCATCAACGCAAATCTAGCAGTTTTTTGAAGTCTTCTTTGACGAGCACACCTGTTGATAATATTTACGAAGGGAAGAGATTACTGAGACTCTCAAACAAAATAACTACCAAGAGAACTTAATCAACAAAATTTACACTGACATTAGTATGGTTGAAAACGCATTCCGAAAACATGGAACTCAACAGTTGTCTTTACATGTAGAACAGAGACGTCAGAGGATATCCGAAGAGACCCCAATAAGCACGAAATCAGAGGATTTTTGCTAAAAGTATGAAATTTTCAGCGTCTGATATCGGTAGCCCAAATTCACAGGCTGACCACTGATATTAGGTGTGCGTCGACAAGGGTCTTACTTCGGACCATGTGCATGTTTGACGGCAATCTTAACCGCTGGGCCACCCACGCACACCATCATCTCAAGATTTGAGTTTTGAGGTTGTAATCACGAAGTGATGTGAAGGTATTTTAATCCATTCACAGTTAATAGTGTTATTCTCAAAGATTACGGAAATTGAAGACTTACAGACAACCGATTGCTGCATAAGCCTTCCACTGAGCATCCAAACTTTCGTTTGCCTGAAGAAAAAATAATAAGTTCATGTTAGTAAACATTCTGATAGCGTCCATAGGTAACTGATTCTAAACAAAATCAAGAAAGCTATTTTGAAGCGTTGCCCACAGTGGTTACACATTTGGTGACTGTTGACTTTAGATAAAACCAATATGTCCTTATTTCTCAGCATGAATGATTTAATGCATAAACATTGCCTACATATATGAGCTATGTCATCGATGAATATGTTAATTGTGTGACAATTTCATATCGTAAAAAATTCGAAAGTTGGAGTTGATATCAAACAAGAAATAAGATTGAAATATCTCAGAGACAAAAAATTTGGCCTGAAATAACTATCGTTATACACAAGGAAACATGACAACCCTCAGCGTGGGAATTGACAGTTTTCATTCACCATAACAGTTCTTCTAAAAGCCTGTCCTCACATATGCACTACGCTCGGAATTGCAAGCAGTAATGGGATGTGTCAATAAAATCCCTAAAAAGAATAAAAAGGCGTAAGTCAACAGATTCTCTGATGTTGTGATGACTGCTCAATATACATATCAAATATTAAATCTCATAAACCATGAAATCATGAAATAAGAATGCCTAAGATTGAACGAAGAATGCAGCCATTGATGACAAGAAAGTGACAGTAACTACAAATCATAAGAACTGCAGTGCTTACCTCTAAAACGGCAATCATCTTACACCAGACGCTATGAAATGGACTTACATCATTGCTCAACTTATATGTAAATATATATTCACCTAATTCTCTGAACTTTGTCTCAAACTTTGTTTACATTCATGCTGAAGTGTTTACCAACTGGTAATAAAAACTTCAGTGCACATCGAACTTGTGTATATTCAGAAGTAAAATAAAGTCGTATATTGCATGTTTATTTAATAATTTAAGTCACGATTGAAAATATTTTTCTACTATCAACCAGGTGGCTAATTCATAAAACAATGGAATATTGAAAACGTCAAAAAATGATGAAGTTACATTAACATTATTCGTGTGATAGTTTCTTTCATTATGTACGTTTACTGGATGACTGTGTTTTCAGTCGTCAGTGCGTTTATTTTCTACTAGATTCACAATGAACTCTATACTGAACAGTTTCTGCTCCAATCTTTGGAGATCCTGTAATACCTTCAACTACATTTCTTAGAGTAATCGTCATTTTCGTCTTATCGATAATTAGTCAGATAGATATTTTCTTTGGGCTGTGAAATCCACTATTATTCCTACTTTCACAGTGAATAACTTCAGTATTCTTCAAAATATTGAAGTATAACTTCAATTAAATATATATGATAAAAACACTATGTTACTGAATTCAAGAATGAAGTGGGCTGTTCACTAAATATTTCACAATAATTTAGCAGATTCAGGCCTTACACGTTTCTTATCAGATGAAATCCGTGTCAAAAGAGGTATCGCAGAATATTTATAATAAGTCGATAAACCGAAAAATCCGTAACGGCCACTGTTACTCCTTCATGCTGTTATGAAGGAAGAGAGTTTTATAAAGGGAGAATAGCCTGCAGATAAAAAACAATTTTAGCTAATTTTATTTATGTTGACTCTAATAAACGTACGTTTAGTTTACATCCGATACTTTTGAAGCAATATATGTTACTGCTTTGCTCTCTATCTCTAGTTCAATGATCAGTTGTTTACATCCTTTTCATGCATTTTGAAGTTAATGTCAACGAGTTAATTGTCCCTTCACTACACGTTTTTAACCTGTTGCAGAGGTGCTATTCAACTGAAATAAATGGAATATATGCTAATTGTAGAGAATAATTATCTGCATTGATGATTTTCATGAAAAATGATGTAAGACTAACACCTTCAGGTAATGATTGATGAGTGTAGTCACGAAGTTGTCTTTAAATTAAAGTTGATGTGCGAATGCTGACAACTGCAAATCAGAAACTTTGTGATGCATAAAGGCGATTGTAAATAAGGATGTATTGTTCTTCCCAAACTACGATTTTCATCAATCACCAATGGATTTGCTGTAGTAGGTGATTACGTTTTCAGCTGGCTAGCATGAGCTTCCATGATAAGCATTACATACTAAAGGGAACACTTCGAAATAGTCAGTATTAAAGGGAGAGAGTAGTTGTGGATATGATTATTTCGTTTTAAAAGAAATATAATCCAGAAATCTCCAGAATAAAGAAATAACGTGAACTGATTCAAATATGCGTAGTAAATCATCTAGAAAAGTTTCAAATTTAGCAAAAATATCCAACACAGGATAAAAGTATGACACTTTTTGTCATTGTGGCAATCGTTGATTCCTACTGACTACTTATTTGCACTTACCTGCAAAGCACACGAATAGTCAAATCGTTTTAGTTAACTTCTCCATGTTTAAAATAGAAACAATTTGCAAATCACTTGTGAAAGGTAGATTTATCGTTATTGTTTTTTTTGAATAATGGACTTTGTTCAACGCTTATTACAATAAGTAGTGAAATAATGTAAACATTTTC